GAGCTATTAGCTTTCACTGCTCAACAACAAGAAGAGGTATTGGTGTATCTATAAATTTAAGCTTGTTTTAATAATATACTCAGTTATAATAAAACATTTACTCTCTGTTTTATAATGGCAGGGATTCCATCAAAGCTTGATGTCTGCACAAGAAATTTCTGCGGCAACAATAGACTTCTTCAACCATATCCATCATCAGGCTCATCAAGTCATGACAACATTTGAGGACAGTCGAACTGAAAAATCTCGGAGACTAGCTGCTTTTGAGAAGTTGTTTAAGGTAAATTAGGCAAGATGCACCATTTACTTCTGTAATAAATGTTAAGCAAGGCTGCTAAGATCTCCACTTTTGTGGCATAGGAAGAGGCTGCTAGAGAGGAAAAGCAAGCATTGGAAAGTATAGCAGTAATACTAGCGAATCTAACATCTAAGAAAACTGCTATGGTGAGTTCTTATCTGATAAAATTAATTCCTCTAATTGTTTGTTGATGTTGGGTAAAGTTGTAAGTACCTTGTGCTTGACAAAATTATATATTAGGTCGTGGAGGCTTCAAAGAATGTTTATGACTTGGATATACAAGAGAATAAGAAATTGCAGCAACAGATGTTGAGCATGCAACAGATTTCAACTGATGCCAAGGAGGAGCTAAATAACTACGTAGCAAAGATGGAAAACTGTTTCATGAAAAATACATTTTCGGTGGCTGAATCTAGGGCTATGATTGAAAATTGCCTCCAAGAATGGTAAGCTTTTGCTTGGTTTTTCAATTGAGAATTCTTTTCTTTTCTGTTTGTTTTTTCTATTAAAAATTCCTTTCTTGATACATAGCCCTAAAATGAAGTAGCATAAAAATATCCATGCCGTTGAAAAATTATCAATCAATTGAAATTCCTAAATATTTTCTCTCATTATTGGAGGTACTGAGTTAGTGGTAATTTTTTTTTTTTTTTTTTTGAAAATTCCAGGTTTAAAGCATAGCACCAAAACAAATGGAGAACATTATGTGGATCTACTATGGTTTTATTGGTTGATTGGTGGATCCC